AAAATTCCCAGCTGTGCAAAGAGCAGCTGTTGTGTAACATCTGGTCTCATTCCCCTGGGGTATTTTGTCTTGGGGATATTTTCCAAAATTCTTGGCCCACATATGTGTTTTTGGGCAGGTTAAGCAGGAGCTTTGGGAGCCCTGATGGTGTGCTTGGTGGAGCCAGACGAGGTGGGAATTCAGCACTATGCTGTTCTGGGAAAGGCCTTTCGGAAGAGGAGATGGAGTGTTTGGGAGTGAGTGAGCCGTGGGTTGTCCTGAGCCCTGGCACTGCTTTTAGCAGGAGCAGGAATGGACCCTGGTGCCATCACAGTTCCTGACTGTCACACTGAGTCAGTGCACCCGCCCTGTCAGCAGCCAGCGCTGGCTGGTACAGGAGAAAAGAAAGAGGATTGGAAAATGCCTCTGTGTGCAGGGTGTTAGCAGATGGTGCCTTGGCTCCCAGTCCCTCGGGATCAGGGCTACCAGGGGAAAATGTCCTTCAGGACTCCGACCATAAATCCTTTGTGCATGGCCTTGCCAAGGAGAAATGCCACTGTTAGCTGATTGTTTCAGGATGGGAGATATGGAAAACTCTGATTGATTTTGTTGGGTTTTCTTTTTTTCCCTTTCCAGCAGTTCCTCTGATTCTGCTCCCTCCCACAGCTGGAACTATGTGCCTGGGGCTCAGCAGATGTAGAAAGGAGCTTCTATAAGAGACCAGGAGGGAGATCCTGGAAGTTGCTGTGTGGGGTTTTCATTTATGCCGTTTTTCTTGCTGCCTTCATATAACAGGGGAACTTTTACACCAGGAAAATACATCTCTCTCTATATATATTTTAATTTTTACCCCTCCCCAGATTTGGGTCTCTCATCCCTTCCTCAGACTAACCTGTCATCCTATTTCGTTGTCTCCTGTGACTTCCCTAGTCCCTCTTGTCATTCCCAAGCAGCTCAGCAATTAGTCACTGAAAACTTTCCACTTCCATAAGCTACCTGCTGTACTGCACTGCTAAATAAGTAAGTGGCTCAGCTACTGCAGGCAAAGCTCTGACCTTCTGGCTTGCCTCTGGGGAGGGAGGGTGGTGAGTTAACTGCTGTGCTCCTGGAGGACAGGAAAGCTGTGTGCCTTGTACCTGGACTGGGATAGCTGCATCAGGAGCGGCAGAATTTGGGGTACCACCTGCTCACCAGTGCAGTGAATCCTTTGGGAATTCTGGCCATGGATTGCAGTGTCATGGACCACCCCACGTGGGCTGGGTGGTGCAGGAAACAGGCAGGTCTGGGTGTCAGTGGGTGCCAGCACTGATCCCCTGGGCTCACCCCAACGTCAGGACTGGTGACCCTGTGTCTTTACACGGATGAGTTGGGAGTGGTGCAAGCTCAGCACCTTGTGTCATTTTCCTTCTTAGCAATCAGATGCTTGGCAGGAGGAGGAGGAATTAAAATAAGATCCTTAAATCTGGAGACCTTTAGAGGTTACAGCTGTAAAGTCCTGAGCCTGCATTGCAGATGGTTTGGCCCAAAAGTTTCTGTGGCTGCCCAGGAGGAGAGGACAATCTGTCCCGCAGGGGCAATGAGGTGATGTGCTGGTTCTTGGTCCTGCTGCCCAACTCAGAGACTCAGAGCAGTGGGAGGCCTTTTATTGACATGGGAAAAATCACCCCACACTTATAGAATATGCTGAGTTGGAAGAGACACATCAGGATCATTGAGTCCAACTCCTGGCCCTGTGCAGGACACCCTGAGAATCCCACTATGTGCCTTAGGCTATGGGTAGGTCCAGGGACCATAAGGGTGGCTTTTAAAGGCCTCCTCTTGGGCTGCACTCTGCTCTTTGCCTGAGATACCAACAAGGGGATAGGGAGGCTGGGAAGATCAGGGAATGCAGGGGGTGACTGCAAGGAGGACTCATCTTGGGAGATTGCTGCGGGGGAGTTGAAGGCTGGAAGTGGCTGGCAGAGCTGCTGGGTCTGTTTGGATCCAGATGCAATTGAGTTGGCACACAGCCCTCCTGAAGACAAATGCTCCTGATGAACAGAAAAGGTGTCCCCACTTATCCGCAGCTCAGACTCTCTAATTTTAGCTCATTCATTCTCTCGGGGTCTGGCTGCACGTCCGCCCTGTGCACAGGGTATGATGCAACTGTACCCACATCATCAGTTCTCAACAGCTGCAAAAAGGTTCCCCAGCACTGTATCCTGGTTTTAATGCTTAGAAGCACAGACCTCCCAGCCCATGGAAGGTGAGGCTGTAGCTGAACTAAAGCAGCACTGATGTCTATTCATGCTTACAAAGCCTGGCAACAAGCTAAGTCATGCTACCAAGCAATCAAGGCTCCATTTTCACCACTTCCCTCAAATCAGAGAGCCTTCCCAGAGGGAACACCACGAGAAAGAAACAACTTGGAGAACACCACTACTGTTCCCATGTCACTGTTGAGTATCCTGACTGGGAGTTGATCTCTGCTTCTATGGGCTAAGGCATCTTGAGCCACACAGGGTTACAGCGTGCAGGAAACAGGTAAAGGAATCTGAAAGGCACCACCTTCATTTGAATGAGGTTGGAAGGGCCTTGATGCTGGGGACCACATCTTCCTACGTCCAAGGCCTGGGGTAGATGCAGCCAGTTGCCGTGGGCATTTTAGGGGGGGAAGAAAAGAGTGACTGGGGTTTATTTTCTTGGAAAAATTAGTTGCTTTGTCAAGGTGAAGCTCTATGGAGGATGAGGAGGAAAGTAACAGGTGATCGGTGTGGAGCTGGAGGCATGATTTCTGCTGTGGTGCTAAAATGGTTAATTAACATAATCATCACAGAGCTCCCAGTTAAGCCATCTGTTGCTTAGCAAACAGTTTTGGATGTAAATGTAATAAATATTTGATGATGCTGTGAAATGACGATAAAGGCCCAGGAACCAACTGGTTGACAGAAGAACCTCCTCTGCTCTCCTAGCTTGGGTTGTTTCTCGTTTTCTCCCACCCCTCACTGCTAAGGAACAGTCTTTAAGCCTCTGCTTTTGTCCTCCACCCTCCTGGCGCTGCTGCCAGCGTGGGTTTCTGTTCGACCCTGGGCTCTTGGCATGCCAATCCTCTTAGCAATGCTGGCCTACAACTGCCTCATAATCACGCCACGCTGGATGTCTTGTACTCTACTCCCACCCCCCATTTCCAAACGAACAGCTCCACGGCTGTGCTGTCACCAAAGACCTCTGGGTACTGCCATGGCTGTGAGGCAGAGACACAGTGTATGTGGACGAGGTCTAGCACTGTCCTTCGTGATGCTTTGTGCATCATGCAAATTAATTATGGTTGTAATTACCCCGTAGGACCTTTCCAGTTGGCTGAGTGCAGTTAAAGCCTTCCCCCATCTCTCCTTCTGAGTTTGTGCAAGCCTGTGTAGCCCCCATTCACGCAGGAGGCTGCAAGCCCACAGCTGGGCTTTGTTTTGGGTCTGTGTTCTCCTCCAGCCCTGTATTTGCACAAAGGTGGAGCCCATCCCCAGATCCATCCATCCATCGTCTGGAGACAGTCATTCCGCATTTAGGCTGCTGGGACAGAGCTGGGAACCTGGCTCTGCAGTGGGAAGGTGTTTTTATTGTTGTGAGCCAGTTGCACAGTGCCAGTGCTGACTCATGAACCTGACACCAGGGACAGCGCTGGGCTAAAAATCAATTGGTCCCACGTTGTTCAACACTCCCTATATTCATCCGTAGTTCTGCTATTCCTCAGCCTGCGTCCCGCCCCTGGACCAGTGCCCAGGCCCCTTGTGAGCCATGGGAAGACGTCACCCAGAAATGTGAATTTCTGAGCAGTCAAAGGCTGCACTGTTTACCCAGCTGATAGTTCCATCTCTGCGCTTTGCCTGGCTTTAATTTGAGCGTTGTGTTTCAAAGGACAGGGCTCAGCATCCTGCTACTCATACTTCCTGTTCATTGAGAAATCGGGGTTAAAACCCAGCTGTGACAACCCCTGGAGGGCTGGTTATCGTTCCTTGCTGGGCCCTTGCCCTGCAGCTGAAGTTGTGTAAACTTTAAATCATGACATAATGTACTGGAGCGAAGCTGGGCCGAGGCACAGCAGCTGGATCACACATCCCTGCTGACAGTCAGCTGGGAAAAGCAAATATAAAACTGTACCTATAGTGCAACATGCCAGAGGGGCACCGTGTTTTGGTAGGAATGATTTTTCCCTATGCACTGAGAAATCAGTTCAGTTCATTCCTGGGCCACTGGCCTGAAATGGGACTTCTTGCAGTTATTTACTTACTGAGTGTTGACTCAAAATATTAAGATAAGCAAAATTATTAAAAAAAAAAAAGCCCTGAATACCAACAGGCACAAACTGTCCAGCCTGAGGATAAACGTTCTGAAGAACTAGTGCAGACGTAGATACAGCGACTTCAAAGCAAACTACACAAGTGAACATTTATCTTCTAACAAGGCTATTTTTGCTGTTTGAAACTGGCCTTGATTTTTTTCCTCTCCTTTCTAATTTTTCCTGGTTTTATGGCTGATTGGAAAAACCTTCAGAAGTAATTAGGTGACTAAGAAGCTGAAGATCCCTTTGGATTTGGGCTTGGATAGCAGAAGCTTTTGAAAGACACTTTAAGCATCCTCAGAAATACATTATTTCCAATATATTAATTTCTAACTAGCGTGCCTGGTAACTCTGTCTTGGACTGCTCTGAGATGAAATCAGTGTCATAACTACCCATGTTTGATTCCACCTGCAGCAAGTTTTTTGGGGGAATCAGCTTCCTTGTGGATGCAAAACACCAAAATTTTTACTGACCTGCTGCTCCCTGCCTCTATCCATCGGGTTTAAACTTTCCTCGGCCAGGACAGTGGTTTGGAGCAGCAGAGCCGAGATTTACCCTGCAGGACGAGGCGCTGGCTTTGCCAACCAAATAGGAGTCAAGACAGAAGGTATCCCACCCTCCCGTCCCTGGGGTTTGTCCGCTTCCCTGCCCGCGCATCCCTTGGTTCGCCATCCCCGGCAGCTTGTGGTGTGCCCCCATCCTTACCCTGCTCCAGGTCCTGCTGGTCATACCAGGGCTCCTCTTCCTCGCTCTGAAACTCCTCCATCCTGTCGGCGCTCAGCATTTAGCACCAGCGGCCCGGAGAGACGCGCAGCATCCGCCAAAGGGGCTCCCGCCGCCGCCGAAGAGCGGAGCGGGAGGGATGCGGGGATGCAGGCAGGGATGAGGGCGGGGATGCGGCCTCGGTGCCCCGGCCGGGCCGGGAAGAGGGGATGGCACGACGTGGCAGCCGGTGCCTGCTCGCTGCCCCGGCCCTGCGTGCCCTGGGGGGCGGCTTCCTCCTGCCTCCAGGGCCGGGGGGAGCTCCGGAGCGGGGGATGCAGCGGGGACGTGGCGGCCGGGGCGGGGGGGCACGGCTTGCACAGGGCTGGGGGATGCACAAAGGAAGGAAGAGGGCCCGGCGCAGCCAGGCAGATCCTCGCTCCGCAGCTCGGTGGGGACCTCTAGCATGGAAATGCTGCAAGGAAAACCGGCGAGAGGGAAGGGGGAGGCGAGCGAGGCCGGCCTCCTTCTCCTCCTCCTCCTCCTCCGCCTCCTCCTCTCCGCCCAGCCCTGCCGCGCACGGCGGGGCCGCGGGGAGCGCGGGGTGCGGTGCTAAGGTGGGATAACCCGGGCTCCGAGGTGCACCGCAGCCCCCCCTGCTCTGATCCTCCGGCTGGGGGGTCAGCCAGGAGCAGGGCATGCAGTTGGGACACCCCATATAAACAGCCCCCCTCCAACTCTGTGTTGTTTTGCACTCCGATGGGAAATCAGTGCTCCCGATGCAGGTTCCTCTCTTATTTTTGAGGACAAATTCTCTCATCTTTCTGAAGGGTGGAATGAGCTTAAAACTGAGGGAAATGAGGATTTGTAGAGTTCTGAGGGGTAAATGTGTCTGTTACATACAAGTAAGTTCAGAAAAGACTTGGGATTTTGGTACCTGCTTTTAAGTTTAAGGGAATGACTGTTAAGAGATGGTGGTTTTTCTCCTAGCTGCTAGTGTGGAGTTTGGTCCAAGGAGATTTATTTGTCCTTGTCAGCCCTGGAATCCATCAGAGACTCTAAGATCCAAATGAACTCATGTGACAGTGGGTTTAGATGACAATTTTTTTTTTAATTTTTATTTTTTTTTATTGCCTTCTGTGTGATGAAACTCCCTGGATTTGTATTTGATTGCATTACCTTGCAGTGGTGCCCACAGAAAAGGCAATATAAGATGTTTACGCAAGAGCAGCAGACTGTGCATCCAGAAAAGATGGAATCTGTGTCAGAAAACTCCATCCAATCCAGCAGTGACAGGCAGCTGGAAGTCCCTGGATGATTAAAGCCAGGGCTAGTACTCAGCTCTAGTGTACAGCAGCAGAGGAGAGATTAAGCAGGGAGTAAGAGAGAAACTGTAGGCTATTCCTCCCCCTTCTTTCCTCATAGACCTCTCCATCACATATACACATTCCCCAAATTCAGTGGCTGCCTGGAAAGTCATCTGCCTTAATGCAGTTGCAGGCCAGAATCAAGGAGTCTCTTTAACCTGGCATTTATAACTCAGCAAAGATAAGCACTTCTGGTGTGTCTGGAAGAAAGCCATCTCTGAGTCCTAAATCTTTTTATAAGTAATTTTAATACAGAAATGGAAAAATCTTAATTTTCTCGTGCCCGCTGAAGAGGCATTTGGACAATACCCTTAATAACATGCTTTAATTTTTGGTCAGCCCTGAAGTGGTGAGGCAGTTGGACTAGATGATCACTGTAGGTCTCCTCTAACTGAGTTCTTCTATTAATTGTGAAAAATAATTGACTGTGAAAAGTATTCTTTTCTTAGCAATAAATTATTATCATTTGCCTGTGTAGTGTAGTCATACTGAGTGAGTGCTTGGATGCAAAGCCCTGGGCTTTTTGGCAGCAAGAGCCAGATGACATGATTTTGTGAAAATATTTTTTCCTGTAGGTTTTACACAAATGTCTCTGATCTGACCTGTCACTTGATAGAATCAAACATCAGTGACTCCCGTACAGGTTATATGCCAACAAACGAGAATTCCCACAGTCTGCCCCAGCTGGAGAGTCAGCACATTGCTTTTTTTTGCAGAACGATTGGAATTACCTCATTTCCTCTGAAGAAAGGAGGTTTGCAGAGCTGAGCATGTGGAATGTAATTCAGGGACACCAGAAAGACCTGATTGCAGTTCACAGAGCTGCTCAGAGCAGAAAACGGTGACGATGGCTTCAAAGGCAACACTGAATGGCCTCAAACAGCCGCTTTGAGGTGTTCAGTGAGTGCCAAATCCTGAGCTCCCAGTGCTCAGGGTTATAAAACATTCTCCTCTTGTGGGTGGGTGGAATTTCATTAGGGTTAATGGGCCACCACAGGCAACGAGCTGCTAATAAGGTGTTCGATAGTGTATGTGATACAAGCCTGGTTCCTTTCAACCCAGGACTAGGGCGAGGCCAGAGCCAGCCGTTCTCCGGGCATCCCGCTGCCCCTCTGGACCACCCGGGCTTGGGGCCAGGCTGTGACAGTGGCCAGGCTCTCCAGGGGTGGCTCAACGGGAGCTGAGCAAAGGTGCTTCAGGAGACAAAGGCTGCGGGCAGAGGAGAGGGAGAAGGGGCAAGAAAAGGGGAGAAGGGGGCAGAGGAAGGTGGTGGGGGCAGAAGTCAAGGGATGGAGCAGAAGGGCTGTATAGGAAGGCGAGAGGCAGAGAAGGTCAAGGGAGCCCAGGCAGGAGGGGAGAGCGAGGAAGGGCTGGAAGAGGAGGAGCAGGAGGGTGAAACGAGGAAAACCGTGCTCTGCCATGAGGAAAGACGAGGGAGGGTCAGGGGAGATGGAGGGCGGAGGTGGCGAAAGGCTGGCAGACGGAGGTGGCAAAAGAGGGAAGGCAGCGGGGCGGGATGGAGGGATGGAGAGCTGGAGGAGGAGGAGGAGCCGCGGCCGTGGGCGGAGGGAGGGATGCGGGCGGAGGGGAGGGAGGGCCGGGACCGGCGAGCCCCGGTTTGACAGGAGGGAGGGAGGGAGGCAGCGGAGCCGCTGGAGCGGGCACGGGGATGGCGGCAGCGGCGGCCCGGGGAGCGGCGGCGTGAGGGGACAGCCCTGCCCGGCCCTGCCCGCAGCCGGGCCGCACCATGGGCAGCGCCGACTCCAAGCTCAACTTCAGGAAGGCGGTGATCCAGCTCACCACCAAGACCCAGGTGAGGGCCGCCATCTCGGGCGGGGGGCGACGGGGGGCCCCGCCATCTCGGGAGCCGCCCTGAGGCGCGGCCGGGGCGGGCGGAGGGGGCCCTTCATGCCCGGCCCTGCCCAGAGACACCCCCGGGGCTGCGGGGAGGGGGCGGCCGGGCCGCTGCCCCCACAGCCCGACCTGGCGAGCGGGTCCCTGTGCCGGGGCTGCGGGCACGGCCGGCCCCGGGCCGGGCTCCTTCAGCGCGGCCCTGCCCGAAGGCCGGAGCGCTCGGGGGGTCTGGGCCGGCCCTGCCCATCGCCCTGTCACGGTCTGTGGAGGGGCATCAGGATCGCCAGGACACCGGCCGGGGCAGGGCTGGCAGGGCCCGGCCGCTGTCACCGCCTCTGGTGACATCTTGTGCTTTGCCGAGCAGCGTCCTGTGGTAGCAGAGCAGGCGCTGCTGCCGTAAGGGGTGCCCACGGCTCCTGATGTATTCAGCTGCAGGTTTACATCACCGCAGGGTTTGCCAGCGCTCCCCTTTCTGTATCTTTCCACCCTCCGCTCCTGAATCATGGGTGGAGAGCCCTGTCCTGTTTTTCGGTAGTAGCCGATTAAAAGGCCGATGGCCAGCCATGCTGTTTGCAGCAGGAGCAGTTTCCACCTGTGAAATAAGGCTTTATTTCTGCAGGCTGCAGAGGAGGAGTTAAGTGAAAGTCAGGGCTGTGTGTAGGGAGGGTGGCTGCCTAGAGGTCTAACAGATGTTATGCCGTCCTGGCAGTTAGCTTGATTTTTATCTTAACTGGAGAGTCCAGTAGCAGCAGCACACTGGCAGAAAATTAGTAGCCTGTCCTTCTGTCTAAGGAGCAGGGGGATTTTTCCCTTTTGAGAAGTCACATCTCGGGTTCTTCTGAGCTATGATAGTGAACAGCTGTTAAAATCCACCTTTAGTGGTGATGCAATAACAGCTGCTAAGAAAACCCGGGGTTGATGGCAAAAGGATAGGTAACAATGGGGAATTAATTTAAAAGAGAAGGGTATGGATACAAAGGGGTAAAGGGTAATAGGAGAAAATCTGTGAAAACTCAAGAGACGAAAGCTTCCGGTGGGAAATGAATCATAGGTGGTAAGGCTGGGGAAAAGCCTGGAAAAAACACATTGATACTTTCTAAAGCAGTATCACTTCTAGCTGCATTGCTCAGGAATGACTTCTGTGAAGATGTTCTTAAAAACCTCCTCCAGTTGTGGATGCTTCACAACATCCCTAGGTAAAGAGAGAAATGAATGAATTAATATTTTAAGGGCTTCTTCCAAGACACTTCTGCATGGCAGATAGCTCAGAGCGCCTTTGGACTGTCCAGCTTTGGACTGTGCAACGTTGGACTGTCCTTTCTTCATGGGAAAACATGCTTGTAAAGTGAGATTGGGGGGTAAATCAAGCCTATAGGGATCTGCCCAGTCTGCTGTTCACAAAGAAAATCCTGTATGAGGCAATCCCTTGGACCAACTACCAAGAAGGGAGCGCTTCCCTCCCCTGGTTTATCGACCTGTGTAATGAAAGAAGGTTTTACTGGGGCCCCGAATAAAGGAAGGAGCAAAACCTTCGTTCTTGGCTGGATTAATTTCACAGCTCTGTGGTCTAGGTGAGACTGCCTGTGGAAAAAGGGTGGGGTGTTGGCACTCCCATATTTACATTCTGTGGAAGGGCAGGGGTGTTTGCTTGTGCGGAACGCGTGACTGGGCTCTCCCGGAGCCTTCTGATCTCGCAGCAGCAGCAGCAAAACCTCCCCGTAAGCGCCTGGCCCGTGAGACCCGGGATCCAAAACCAGGCTGAGATAGTGGGCAGAGCCAAAGCCTTCCGAGCTGTTGGCTTACAGTTTGCTTTGCTCCCTCAGCAGCGTGTCTCCTGTTTTGCAGCCTTCTCCTCTGACATCAGGGAGCTGGACAAATAGGTTTTAGTCAAGTCATCAGTAACGTGAAACCGGTGAGCTTAGAATGCACTGTGAGGTGTTCCTAAGGCTCTGGTGGGAAGAAGTGGTTGAGCAGAAGGCATTGTTCACTCACTAGTGAAGGTCCAGAGTTGGCACTGAAGTTAAATTTTTCTTAAAAATAAATTCTTATGATCTCTTTTGTTAATTAAAAA